TTTTCCTCAACGGCTCAAGAAGAACAAACAAGATACAAAATTTGAAAATTTTCTTGATGTTCTCAAGAAGCTCCAGTTCAATATTCCGTTGATTGATGCAATACTACAAATTCCAAGCTACATAAATTTTTTGAAAGAGATGTTGACAAAGAAAAGAAAGTTTCAGGAGTTTGAAGGCATTAACGGAAGAAAGTAGTGCAAGAGTACAAAGCAAATTGCCTCCCAAGTTGACAGATCCAGGGAGTTTTACTTTGCCTATTTCTATTGAAAATTTTTGTGCTATTAATGCATTGTGTGACACGGATGCTAGTGTAAATCTAATGTCATACTCTGTTTACAGGAAATTGGGATTTGATAAAGTCAAATCAATATCAATAAAGCTACAACTAGCTGATTCAACAATTTCAAAGCTATGTGGCAAAGTTGAGGATGTACTCATAAAAGTGGGAAATTTAATATTTTCGGTGGACTTCATTGTGCTGGACATACCAGAAGAGCAAGACATTCCAATTATATTGGGTCGGCCATTCTTAGCAACAGGACGAACTCTAATTGACATGAAGAAGGGGAAGCTAATATTGAGGGTGGAGGACAAGTAAGAGATATTTAATATTTATACCCCACTAGAGACACCTTCCAAGAACAATCATAGATGTGGACTTGATGAAGAAGAACCCCCTAATCAACGCAGCTGTAAGAATAGAAGATCAAATTTCGGTGGACTCCTTGGTAGAGATACAAATGGAAATGTCAAAATATGGAGAGCACAAAAAGGTGCATGACTGAAAATTGTATAAAGTGCAATGATAACAAAAATTGGTTCGAGCCACCATGATAAAAAATGTCATGGGACCAAGTCTAGCTAGAGACTATAAAGAAGCGCTTCTTGGGAGGCAACCTAAGTTCTATCATTTGTTTTCATTATTTCGTTTTCATTTTCAGTTAGTTTATTCAATTGTTTATTATGCTGATCTTATTCTTGTTTTTCTCGTTGAATTGTAGGCGAAACTCAAGTTTGGGGGTGAGAGCAACAACACAGGAGGTTCATATCCGACTGATTACATCACCCACCACATTCCCCACTATTCCATCTCTCCAATATTTGTTTCTATTCAACACTACAACACCACAAACACTTGCTCACACTTTTGGACCATTGTCTCTTCTCAAGTAAGTCCCCCTTTCTGTTCTCCATTTTTAACATTGGGGACAATGTTTATCTTAAGTTTGAGGGTATTTACTGGCTTATGTGTTGTGTGCGTAGCTAGTTTATTTTGT